CTGGAATATGTTTTCATCTTTACTGAAAACAAAACAAACAAAAAATATGGCATGTTGTCTCACAAGACCTTCTTTTTTGCTTTCCCCCAGTAGGTTATTTGAACCCATTCTCCTGGGGCTGAAGAGATAAGTGGCTCAGTAGTTAAGAGCACTGGTTGCTCTTGCAAAGGTTTCAATCCCACATGGCATCTCACAACTGTTAACTCTAGTTCCAGGGATCTGACACCTTCATACAGACACACATGCAGGCAAAACAGCAATGCACATAAAAATAAACGAATCTTTAAAAATAAACTTCAAAAATAAAGTATGATAAACATATGGGGAAAATCCATCTCCTGTATGATTAAAACTCAACCTGACTTAATGATGTGTGCTTATATCATAAATGGGCAATGACATCTTTTCTCTATGGCAGGGTCTCACTGGAACTAGCCTGGCTAGTCTGCAACTCAGCTCCTATGTGCTGGGATTAGAGGTGTGCACCACCACATCTGATGCAATAATTTCTTTTAAATGTTGTATTTTTACTTTGTCCAATTAAGCATAAAGCCAAGGACTTTATGTTTAGGCATGGATGAGGTAACCACAGGGCTCAGATATCCAATATTTCTTATGGTTTCCAGAGCCCTTGAAATGAAATTGGTATTATAATTGACGATTAAAGATTATGACTTGGAGAATCAGCACAAATGTCAGTCTCAGCAAGGCCCCACCAAGGGCTCTTCCCCATCCAGGTACACCTATGGCTCTGGGGTTTAGAATAATATTAATAACTCTTATTTCAAATTTCAGAGTTCAACTTTATTTTTACCTCAATATTCTTTTACACTTGCACATTGGGTAAAAATTGGGAGACGAGCCCATGAGATGATTCAGTGGTTAAAGACATGTGCTACCAAAAACCTGACAAGAGTTTAATTGCCAGGACCTATCTGGTAGGAGGGGAGAACTAACTCCTGTAAGTTCCCTCTGATATGTATGTGGCATACCCACATGCACACAATAAATAAACAATGTCATTTTTAAGGAGGGAGATGGGTCATTTCTAAGCTGATTAGTGCTATTAATAAAAGTTTAATATAGCCTCTACAGTAGTTAAACTGTTGGTCAAAGTATATAACAACATTTTCAGAGATAGAGACCTTTCTTTTCTTTTTGACCAGGGCCTCCTTTTATAGTCTTCAAATGGATAATTCCAAGTGCTTAGATTATAGGCATGAGCTGCTACACCACTTCTATTTGGAAAATGGATACATTTATCACATGACAGAGATCTTGCTAGGTACTAAAGGCTGTATTGCAAACAGAACTTACCACAGAAGCAGGACACAGAGTGACAGTACATATGATCTCTAATGTAAGAAGATGCAGTGGGAACCATAGGGTTGCCTAGACCAGATTAGGAAAGTCAGAGAAGTCTTCCTGGAGGAGGTGTTATCTAAGATGAAACCTGAATAATGTACAGAAGCTGAGGAAAAGGTGCCTGAAGGGACAAGTATATATGAAGGCTGTGAAGAGGAAAAAGGCCTGTCAGAGGAAATGAAAGAAATAGGATTACATGGCAAGAGAGGGGATGAGGGCAAGGCCTATGTAAGAGGAAGAAGAACGCTACCCAATGGAGTCTGACTCTGGCTAGCACACAAGTGTTCACTGTCATTCAGAGTGTAGTCTGGCACCATGCTACAGAGCAAAGGTGTGCACAACCCCTCCTTCCTATGTTAAAATTCTAACCCAATGCAAGAGTATTGGAAGTAATTGGGTTTTGAGCTAATTTTTTGTGATTTTTTTTTTTCAAGACAGAGTTTCTTTGTGTAACACCTCTGGCTGTCCTGGAACTCCATCTGTAGACCAGGCTGGTCTCGAACTCACAGAGATCCCCCTGCCTCTGCCTCCAGAGTGCTGGAATTGAAGTCGTGTGCCATCCTTTCCCTTCCTCTAAGAAAAAGATGATGCCCAGAAGACTCACAAGTAAACAAGAGACTGCCAGAAGCTCCAGAAACTGTAAAATATACATTTCTGAGTTCCCTCCTCAGGTTTTCTAAAGAGCAATGGTTGCTGACAGAGGAGACTCACCATAGCACGGCTTGCAGAATGGGCATGGAACACTATGCTGGTACCATCTTCTCTATGAGATGTCTGCTCCTGGAAGCAACTACAATTAACTCACTGATACACCACATCAGACTTGGCTAGAATCAATCCTTTGTCACCATTGCTACCCAAGCTCTAGTTAATAGACACCTGTTTACATCTCAAGGAAAGTTATACAACAAGCTTTCATAAATGGCTTCAATGCCTCTTCTACCACGTAAGGAGACAGAGATGACAGCTATGTGTCAGTCAGGAAGCAAGTACTCCCACAAGCACTGATTCTCAGACTTTCCAGTCTCTAGAACATAAAAATATAAATGTGAATTATGAAAGCATTTCAGTCTATAGGATTTTATCTCAATTTGGACAGATTAAGGGAATATTTGGGTGGAATTTGAGGGCATACCATTTTAACCTGCAGAAACAGAAGAGTATACTATAAAAGCAGACATGGTAGAGATGACAACTCACTTACAAAAAGTATGAATGGCTCCCAGAATCATTAGAAAGTGATGACAAGGGTCTGAATGAACTCTGAGGGAGTGTTCCCCCATACTGAGCCAGGAGCAGGGCCTCTGCCCCAGCATGATCAGGAGTATTGAGGAGTTCTGCTACAGCTATCAGCTTCAAGAAGACTGTCTGTTGTAGCAATCCAGACCACAGGGACAGCTGCTAGAAGACTATGATGACGGCAGGGGCTGGAAGAAATGAAAACCTTTTGACTTAACTATTGGAAAGAATCTCTAAAGGGGCTTTGGATAGAGAGGGGTAGGAAGAGTGAAGAGTAACTTCTGGGGTTCTAGCTCAAAACCATAGATACAGAGAAAACTAAAGGAGAGGCTGGAAAATTGCTTAGTTTGTAAAATGTTGGCCACACAACTTTGAGAGCCTGAGTTTGGTCCCCAGCACTCACATAAAAAGCCAGGCTGAGTACATGCCTGGAATCCAAGCAGTCAGGAGGCAGAAACCCACACAGACACATGTATGGGTTATAAATGTATACCCCACACAAAAGTAAAATAAAATAGGTTTGAAACGTATGAAAGAAAATGATTTTTAATTCCCAAAGTATAAAACTTAGATATATATTATATAAAACATGAAAAAGCCTAAAAATATTTTAAAGTATCAATTTTGCATATTTTCCCATGTAAAACAGGTGACATGAAAAGAAAGAACTATTCTTTATTCATTTTGACATGCAAGGTTCAGGAGCATAGGAAAAATGTAATGAATGGTTTTGTTGTTTGGTTTTGGGGGAACAGGGTGTAGGTTGGCTTAAAACTCAGAGTACATAGGGTGGTAGCACACGCCTTTAATCCCAGCACTTGGGAGACAAAGGCAGGCAGATCTCTGTGGATTTGAGGCCAGCCTGTTCTACAGAGTGACTTCCAGTACAGCTAGGGCTTTACACAGAGAAACAAAACAAAAAACAACTCAGAGTAAGCCTCTTGCCTTAGCTTCTCAGGTACTGGGATTATTGAGACACGCAGTGATACCCAGCTTCAGTCTTTCTTCTTGCTTTAAAACTAGATTTGTTTGTTTTTATATGTTTCTGTGTCTATGTTGAGTATATGTGCATGTGTGTACATGGCCAGAAGACAGCCAGGTGTCCTCCTCTGGGTCTGTTGATTTCTTTGAAGTAGGGTCCCTCTCTGAACCTGGTGTTTCTGTTTTCTCAGGTATGCTGGAAGCCAGAAAGCCCCAGAAATCCTGTCTCTACCATCTTTGGAGTTGTGGTTACAGGCATATGCATTAACCGTGACTTGTTTTGTGAAGGCTGGGATCTAAACTCTAGTCTTCATGGTTATATAGCAAGCACTCTTAACCACTGAGCCATCTTTCCAGCCCTTTTCAGACTCCATACACTTTTATTATACCCCGCATTCATTTCCCAAACACTACGAGTAAAGGGATTCATCAACCAGGCATAGTGCCACATGCCTGCAACTCAGCACTCAGGAAGCTGAGGCAGGGGAACTTCTTCAAGTTATAGGTCAGCTAGACCATATTTCCAATACACTCAAAAGAACAGATACGACTTTCCTTAAAGTGAGTGTGATGCATTCTAGACAAACAGACCCATGAAAAGATTAGAATTAAAACATGATTTTTAAATTGTATTAAATATGTGCTTTATAGTTATGATAAGCACAGTTGAATGGAATTAAAATAATTTGCAACCCAGTTGTAACTCAACTCATTGACAACCCTAAATGTTGTATGGCTACATCCTGTTTTATTTCACTACAGACTTCATAAGACCTCAAGTGGGGACCTTAAATACTAAAAGAGTTTAAAAAACATGAAAATTAACTCTTGTTTTTAAATGAGTTTTATAAAAATTAGATGGGAATAAAACAAATTTAAGACATAAACTTAAATGTTACATATTTGACTTAAATAGCCACATAAAAATTAATAGAAACATATTGGAGGCCAGAGAGATGGCTCAGTCAGTAAAGGATTTTGCTGCAGAAACCTGATATTCTGAGTCTGATCTCCAGAACCCACATCAACTATGAGACAAAGTAACTGACTCCACAAAGCTGTCCTTTGATCTACATACACACACACACACACACACACACACACACACACACAGTTATAATAAAAAAATTTTTTTAAAATACACTGGGTACAGCATGTGACACAAAATGAACCCTATTTAATTAATTTTAAAATGCATCTCCCCTTGTTTTTAATCGCACTGATCTGAAATTACCCTTTCTTCAGAGTCAGTGAAAACCATACTTCTCTGAAGTATAAGCATTTCTTTGAACTTGTGTGTCTCCCATGCCTCCTAAAAATCTACCCGTTTATTTCACAATACTGCAGATAGACACTAAAAGGTGACACAAAGCAACCCACAGGTATTCTAAATGTATTAGATTAATAAGATATACCTTGAACAACAACCTGGCTGCCTGGGACAAAGAACTGTTGTGTGCCATCGGCTGACTGTGCTGCATACTGTACAATTGTAGCACCTGGCGGAGGAGCTCCTGAATTTGTCATTGTTAATGCCTGGAGTCCCTGAACACCATCAGATCCTGGGTTAGAAATCTGGATTGTTCCACCTTGGGCTATAGCAACTTAATAGAAAAAGAGAAGAATATTAGAGAATTCTGAGTTATTTTAAGCCCATATTGGGGGAATATAATATATTCTATATACTACCATTATTTCCATTGTCTCTTTTCTATGTGGGACTAATAAGGAACATTAGCTTCTTCATCGTGGGAAGAACTTTATAAAAGATTATCAACACAAATTATTTTATTTTGGTTTTGCTGTTGAGTGTATTTTGTATTCAGAATTTTCAAACTATTATTTCTAGAGTCCACAAAGTTTTCCTTCTAGGTATTCATTCCACTCAGTTTTTTATGTATATGGACATATTGCCTACAAGATGTCTGTGCACCATATGCACCCCTGGTACTTGTAAAGGGTGCCCTGGAACTGGAGTTATGTCATTGTAAGATGCCGTGCAGGTGCTGGGAATCTAATCTGGGGCCTCTGGAACAGCAACTCATGCAGAAATAAAGCCCAGCTTCAAAGTACTTGCAATTCTTTCAAATATTTTTGGTTATAAACAACACTCTTCTGAGAATTAGGAAATGGTCAGTAGCATTTTCACTGGCACTGCAATTACATTAACCCTGTACTTTAAATTACCTAACTACATTTCTTATTTATTGATAAAAGGCAGTTTTAAGAGCTGAGGGTATCTGCAGCTCAGTGGTAGAGTGCATGCTCAAACCATGCACTAGACACAGAGTACAATCCCAAGCATTCACAAAAATGAAGAAAGAAGGGAGGGGGAGGGGAAGAAAGGGAAGGGAAGAAAGGAAAAGAAAAGGGGGGGAGAGAAAGGGAAGGGAAGAAGGAAGTGCAGGCAGGCGGGCAGGCTAAGTGATTAAATGAAGGTTTCAAACTCCAATCACAGAAATTGAATTTTCTCTTTCCTTAATTTTCCAACAATACATTATCAGACCTTTGGAGTAACTATTTAATCCTGAGATAAGTTCCAATTTACTTTGATTTTAGTATTTTTAAAATAATTTTTCTCCTAAATTTCCAACTAAAACTTTTGTGTTTTTATAATATGAACAGATTACAATATTAAGGGTCTGTTCATCATTTTATATTCTGGTGAAACCCAAACATAATTAAAATTGAAATACATACAGAATTTTATAAATAAAAGTGAAAATAGTACATCCCACACACCCCACAGCATGTTTGGTTCTGGTACAAGCTACCATGACAGACATGGGAAACTTTTCTACTAATAAATCTCTTTCATTAGCCTTTCATATTTATACTGACAGCACTTCTGGTTTTATCATTGTGAAAGGACAGAAGCTCTTCCTACTTGAAAGGGTATATCTATTGTTGGAGAATAAAGTTTAATGTTTTAGAGATTCTGGAAATGGGTAATAGATGTAAGCAGGAACTTCTAAGGAGATAAAATATGCAAAGATTAAAAAATTTGCTTCTCATAAACATCAAGATCAAAAAGTAGGAAAAATATATGTCTGAATGAATATATATATTTTATGTATTTAAACAACAAACAAAACTTATCAGCCTTGCATGTTGGCATTTGCCTGCAATTCTAGCATTCTGGGAGGCACAGCAAAACTGCCATGAATTCCAGGCTAGACTACACTACAGAAACCCAGTGCTGAAATAGTAAAGCTATTACAGAAAGCTTCCAACAAATATAACAGTAAAGAGAAATTTATTTGTTGTGTTGAGTTTTTGAGGCAGGGTCTCATGCAGTACAGGTTGTTCCAGAACTAGAAGACCTTGAACTCTTGTTCCTATCGCCTCTATCCTACATGCTGGGATTACAAGCATACACTTCTGCGCTTGGCTGTGAAGGACTGTTTCTGTCAACCATTTTCCCTGCCTATTTATTTTTGAGTCACTATTGGGGTGGGGGGTGGAGGGGTCTGGAGTATTCACAATTGAAAATAAAATATCTTTGTATCTCCCAGTCATTTTATTCTGGGAACCTAGGCTTTTCCTTGTTTTTATTATTCGTGTGTGTGTGTGTGTGTGTGTGTGTGTGTGTGTGTGTGTGTGTGTGCGCGCACGTGCACGCGCGCACGTGTGTGCACCTGTGCCCTCAGATGCCAAATGAGAATGTCAGATCAGCTTGAATCTGGAGTTACAGGCAGATGTGAGCTTGGTGGTGGGTGCTAGAAGCAGAGTCCAGTTTTTTGAAAAAGCAGTAAGTAGTTCCAGAGGCATCATCTCTCCAACATAGATCTAGCCTTTTCAATGCTTTCCTGAAGTGACTCATACAACAAAGGCATAAGGCTTCTATCTCTGACAACACATATTTGTTAACAAAACAGAGTCCATACGGTCCGTGAATACTGACTAGGACTCAAACTAATAAAAATGTGTCTTTTAAATTGAGACTGTACTGAAGCTGGACAGATGGCTCATTGGTTAAGAGCACTGACTGCTCTTCCAGAGGACCCAGGTTCAATTTCTAGCACCCACATGACAGCTCACAACTGTCTACATCCAAGATCTGACACCCTCAAACAGACATACATCCAGGAAAAATCAACAATGCACATAAAATAAATAAAACATTTTTAAAAATAGACTTACTTATTATTATAACCTTAATAACATTACATAGAAGAAAAATTTAGTTTCATTTAATTTAATAAAAAAATGAAGCTATAATTATCTAAACTATAAATTTTAATTTTTAGCTGACTCAAGCCTGATACTATGCTCTCAATTCATAGCAGTAGAGGAAGAATAGGTTAGGCTTCTACTGTTCTAATTGCTAACCACATAAACATTTTTTTTTTTTTTTTGCTAAATTTCTTATAACATAACTACAAGGCCATCCAAAATCTACTGGCTGAACATTGAACACAATGACCTTAATTAAAAAACAGTTTCGATTACCCTGCCTATACTCTCAGCACTCCAGAGAATGAGGCAGAAGAATCCAGAGTTTAAATCTAGCTTTTGCTGAAGACTTGTATCACTAGACAAAACAATCCTTGTTTGCTCAAATGAAATACATTTATTTACTAAGTATATATCTATATCTAGATGATTATACAAATATCTTTACTATGCATTCTCACATAGTCAGATATTTAGCTTTAAATAGATATTAACCATAGTCTGGTTTCCCTATCTTACAATTCATCACACACCACAGATTGTCCCAGATAGGATGACAAAATTTATCTGCTAGTCCAAGGTAATAAATCTCAAATATTTCTGGGACACAAAACTATGTAACTTCCATTACTTACTGGCATTATACAACTTTCCATGAAAGATATTAATATTATAAAAGGAGGAAGATATTATTTATGGGATAAAGATTCAAAAATGAAGTTTAAAAAAAAACTTGTTTTTAAGACAAGGTCTCATGTCTCAGCCTGGCCTTGAGCTTAATATGCAGTTAGTGATCACCTTAGATTTCTGATTTTCCTGCCTTCACCTTCCAAGTGCTTGAATTGGTGGAATATACAGCTACTCTTAGTTTCAGGCTGTACTGGAGGTGTTGAGCACTCTACCAACTGAACTATACATCCCTAAGCCCAAAAGGCAAATTTTAAGTCCTATGTAATTGATAAAGACAGAACAGAAGCCTTGCCAGGCACAGTGGTGCATCCCTTTAATACCAGCACTCAGGAAGCTGGGAAAGAGGTAGGCAGACCTCTATGAATTTGGGGCCAGCCTGGTCGACATATTAGTTCCCAACCATGAGAATAGCAACAAAAGGTCAAAAAACATATATGGCATTAACTACATAAATAAATTTAAAAGTTACTTAGGGGGATGTAAGTAATGTCACTGCTAAGAATATACAAATAGTTTCTTAAGATTGTGTAAACCAATTGCCTTTATGAGAAAAGTGTCCCTTCACATGAGCACCCTAAGGTTCTTATGACATATATGTACATGTATAAAAATGTCATCATGAAACCCATTACTATAATTGATATAAACTATTAAAGCATTTTAATTCTGGAGTCGTTAAGCAGCCCACAATATCATACTTGTCTTGCAGGTGGATTTTGTTTTCACCCACTTACCTTTCAGATCCAGAAAAGATGAGCCACGGAGACTCATTCCAATAAGGTTCTTAGTAAAATATAGTGGGAGAGAGAAAACAAATGAGATATCTAGAAAGAATAATGTGGAGTCTTGGTGACAGCCTTTTACTGGTAAAGGAAGAGGTTGGGTTTAATTTTTCCTCAAAGAACATTTATTGAATTAAAAACTTTCCATCATTTGTGGCTGGAGAGACAGCTCAGAAGTTAAGAGCACTTATCTGCTCTTGCAGAAGACCCAGGTTTGACTCTTAGCACCCACATGGCAACTCATGACTGTGTAACTCCAGTCCAAGAGGACCTGATGCTCTCTTCTGACCTTTTCAGGCACCAGGGATACACATGCTGAACAGACAGATAATCACACAAAACCACCCATACACACAAAATAAATATTTTTAAACGTCATTTAAAATTTTTAAGACATTTAATTTTTTTCACCTTTGCTTTTATGAACTCACTTTATATTTTAAATGTTTTATGCAGCAAATAACATTCTTTGCTAACACTATCTCAAATGCCATCATATGGTAGCTTATCTCAGGATACTTCCCTGAAGTATAACAGGTTTTCCTGGACCAAACTAATTGAGCATGGTGCTGGAAAATGAAGCCAAGGCCTCACACATACCAGGTAAATGCTCTTTTCCAGGTGAGCCACACCCTGGCTTCCTCTGTTAGACAACAAACCTGCTGCAAGGACCTGTATTCCCAGCAGGGTCTCTGCAGGTGTAGCTATTTATTTGGTGCTGTACAATAAATCCTTGCTTGCTTAATGTTTAAATTTTTAGGGTCTATTTTTTAAGCCTGCCTATTTTTCCTGTTCCCAGTGAAAATATTTAGTTTCTGTGATAAATAGTAAGCAGAGCTAAGGATGTAGCTCAGTGACAGAGCACTTGTCTAACACGTATAAGGTCCCTGATGGATCCCTAGGAAACTAAAACAGTAAGATCAACTTCCAGCAAATACCTTTCAACTATTGAAAATATGGCTTTGAGTTGGGGAGATGGATCAGTGGGAAAAGTGCAAACATGAGAACCTGAGTTCCCACTAGCCATGTAAAAGCTGGCATAGTGTTATGTATCTGTAACTTCAACAGTTAGTGGAGATGAGTGAATAACAGAGGCTCACTAGCCAGAAATCTTGCCAAACTGGTGAGCTCCAAATGAGACCTTGACTAAAAACATAAGGTGAAGAAGCCATAGAGGACACCCTACAACAGCCTCTAGCGTTTATACATGCATGTGTGAACAAGTGCACCTGCATACTTGTATATACATACATACACAGAATAATTTTAACTATTGATAAGTAGTTGGAGAAAGTAAATATATTTTTATTTCTTCAATTTCAATACCCATGTCACAATTAAGATTATGAGTGTGACTCAAAACAATGCATAGAAAAATATACAGAAATTCTAGTTAAACTATTCTAAAAGTCAAAGAATCCTAACAACTATTTCTATTCTTAAATATTTATATATAACAAAAGCATCAAGACATGATAAGTTTTACTTAGTAAGAAATATGATTAATTACAATGGATCTTGTATGCATATAAAGGTCTGATATAAATATTCTCTAATTGAAGTATAGAAATTATTTTTGTGGTACAAATAAATAAATGTTGAACTTCTCTATACATGCAGTTGTCTAGTTTTACCTGGAACTCCTGATTTGTCTCCCAAGCCTGCACCTCACAAACAGGGAGCTTCTATGCCAAGTGCAGAAACGGTGCCAGGAGCATAGGAGTCATGGCATAGAAGCTCCCTGAATGGAGGGGGTTTAATGAGCACAGACTCTCAGATAATTTACACTTCTGTGTCTCCTCCCAATGTCTGCATGTCTTTTTCTCTCCAGCTTGGCCTTTTTTTTTTTTTTTTTTTTTTTTTTTTTTGTTTGTTTGTTGTTGTTGTTGTTAATGATGATTTTGTGTTTGCCTTGTCTTCACACAAACCCCACAGTTTGGCTCCTGAAATTATTCCCACCTCACATACTAGAACCTGAGATGCCTGATGATGGAGTGAACAGTACAGACAGCAGAGCCCTTCACCACGCCTTCTCCAGCTGAACCTTAGCTTTCATTTCACTATGTCACATTCTGTAGTAATAATCTATGGAAATTAACCCACAGCATCAACTTCCCTATTCTGTGCAGACAGATCACTGCTGCTACAAGAAGTCTATCAGGCTGTACCAGAGAAATACCAAGTTTACAGCCTCTCAGCTCAGCCCCAAAACTTTAAGAAGTCTGAAGATTCTTTCAGCAGTTATTGCCACCTTTCCCTGTCATAGCACAAACAAAAAACAATAGCATAGACAGCCCACTGGGTAAATGAGCAAAGCTCCTCAAGGCTGGGGCTCAGCCAGGAGGCTCGAGCCTCCCAGGCCTACTCAGACTGTCCAGGGACCAAAGGCTGAAGAGCTCTGCCCTCCTGGAACCTAGAATCGTACCACAGAGGTACACAAGCTGGCAAGCTCTGGTTTACAGTCCTGAATGAACCAACGAAACATAAAGATGAAAACAAAGGGCCATAGGAATTTTCTTAACACTCATTTTTTAACGTTTTTAACACCTGCATTCAGATCCTGTAGATGATGTGTATAAGTTACACCCATCTTGGACAGGTATCATGATGGTGTCTACCCAAAAATAACCAAAGGGATTTAATTTAATAATGTAAAAATCTATCAACACAGGGAAAATTCTAAGAAACAAATAACAACAAATGCTAATAACTCTGTAAGAGCTTTCCACACACAAAAGAAGATAATAGCATGCTTTAATAGCCAAGCCTTAAGGCTTTGGGGTATTAGTACTTTTTAAAAGGAAAAACTGAAAATGTGAAGTCTTCACACTTTATTTAGAAACATCCCTAAGTACCCAACGCAGTTCCCCTGCCTTCCTTTCCTCCCTTTTATTTTGCTTTCTAGGTCTCATGGTTCAATATTTTTGTTTTTCAAATGCCCTTGACTTGAGAAAATGAGAAAATAATTAGTGCTTTAGTTAGAACAGAAAGCACAGAAGTAACAATCCATTAAAATGCACAAGACTAAATGCCAATGTATCTGTTTATTAGAGCTTCCAGTGCTTAAAGTTCAAATCAATGATCTATCCAATTGCTACAGTTTGAAAGTTAAATCATTTTTGTTCTTTTAGAAAAACTGCAGCACAAATTAACAGAGTAATGAAAACAAAGTTACATTTAAAACACGATTTAAAAAACATATTTACCTCTTTTAGATAAAGTGTAATAATTTGTTGGCAACAAAAGCCAGCAATAATGAAATACAGACATTTATATCATAAAGACAACAAAAACAGGAACTTTAAAACTTTTACTTGATATGAATATAAACATGTAAGTAGGAAACCCTTTAACTTTTAACCACTTCCCTTTCATATTCAGCAATAAAGACTTTTACTTTTCAGCTGCCAGTACACATATCTTACTGCTTTAACATGTACTTCTTATTCTATGACACTGTTGGTTAACAATGCAGTTGTTAATGAAGCATTCAGACGCCCAAGCCCACACTGCTTCACTGTAATTAGGGAAGACTTAAAGCTAGCACTGTGTCTATGGAATCATAGCATACATACTGTATTGCCCCGTGCTAGTCTGATATATGCTAGTTGGTACTGCCATGGTAGCAATGTTAGGTGGTGTTCCTTCTTCCTCTGATTTTTCTTCTTCAATCTTGGGAATACCAGGCACATCAGAGGAAAGTTCATTCAGTATTTTTCTAAAATATAATTGAGCAATATAAGCAATTAGGATACAGAAACAGACAACAGGAAAGCTAAAAATAATAATTACTTTGTTCTATAATTATTGTACCTTTTGGGGTGGAAATATTCCAGTAGGAAAGTTAGTTAACTCACCTATATGAGGGTCTCCGTGAAAGAATTTCTCTACGTTTATGAGAATCGATTACTTCTGATTCTGCAGAATCATCTGTCTCTGCAATTGTTGCTACCTATAATACAAGATTTTCTGAAACGCATCATAAAATATATGATCTTCATCCTCATTCAAAAAATGGTGAGTAAAAGTCTGTTGGTAGAATTCAGCTTAGTGCATGTTTGGAAAGGGAAGCAAAGAATAGTATAGATAATAAATACTACATAAGTTCAATAGAAAGGATATCTGGAATACCAAGTGAGGCTTCACAAGAAAGGGAAAGCATAAAACACTTCAGACCCAAACCCCCAAACCTGCATGTATCCTTCTAAGTCCAGGTATCAATGAGTGAGACCATAAAAAGACAGAAAACTACCCAAATTTAGTGCTTTCTTCACATTATCACTGGCTTAAGCTGAGTATAAAAGTCAGGCATCAGGTAGGCCAAAAAAAGAATGAATACTTATGTAAACAAGTCAGGAAACTGGGTTTATTAAGGGAAGGAATTATATTACAGGGAGAATATTAGAGTTTAAAGTTCTGAAGTCAAAATAAATTTATATTTAAAAGGCCAGTAAGATGGCTCAGTGAATAAATAAAGCACTTGCCTCTAAAAGGCCTGACAACCTGAGTTCAGTTCCAAGACCCATACAGCAGACAGAGAGAACAAATTCCCAGTAGTTGCCCTTTGACATAGACACTATGGAATGCACCCAAAGACACACCCACATAAAACATAGGTTGGTAGGTGGATGGATGATTGATTAATACATAGACAGGCAGAAAGACAGACAGATGTAAAAATAAAAAGCATCAGTTTTCAGCATGATTTTGTTTTCAAGCCAGGCAACAATATAATGATATTAAAGAAACTGAGAATTAAAGAAAATGAGAAAACTAAACTAATGAATCTCTAAACATGTCTTCTGCCAATTTATTTAGTCACTACTCTAAGGTTTAGGGGAGGTAAATTTATGAAACTTCATATTAGAATTACATGAGAATCTGATGTGGGGAAAAACTAAAAATATCAAGAACATGTAGTTCCTGCTATAAACATAGTGAGTACAGTTAAGAACAGCATGGGGCTAGGGATGTGGCTCAGTGTAGAATGCTTCCATTATGTCTGAAGCCATGTGTTTGATCCCCAGCACCACATAAAACCTGGTGTGGTAGTGCATGCCCATAAACCCAGTACTTGAAGGTAGAAATAGGAGCATATGAAATTCAAGGTCATCTTTAGAGGCACTATGAGTTTGAAGCTAGCTTGAGCTTCAAAACTCTTCCCTAGAAAAATGCCAAGAAGAAGGAGGAGGAAAAAAATATCAGTATAGTTTCCTCTTGAAAATTACAAGTTTGTGTAGAATTAACAGATTTAAAGTATTTCCAGCATGAAAAAATAATGACATAAAATAATATATATTTTAACTAGCCAATTTAGTCATGCCACAATGTATACACAGTTCAAAACAAGATGTTGTTCAGAATAAATTGATAAAAATTGTTTGCCAAGTAAGAGTATATTAAAAATTCATTTCTGATTTTATATAGTCTTCAAATCATATAGATAGGGACATGTATGTGTGTATAAACATACATACATATCAATATATATATATATGTATATATATATATTCATCTACAAATGACACTTCTGGCCATGGATACAATACCAGGGAGGCAGAGGCAGGTCTAGGGCAGCCAGGGCTGCAAAGAAACCCTGTCTCAAAAAAAAAAATAGAAAAGTTGAGATAAGTATGAACAAAATACATTATGAAATGTCATATGAATGAAAGCCCTATTACAAAAACATACACACACTGAACATAACCTACTGGGGGGAAATGCTGCCTTATATGGTCATGTATCATGTATCTTGCATGGGCAATACATTTAGCACAGCTGTCCTAAACTACAGCAATTCCCTCATGTGCAATAGAGGCCATTGTTTTATCCAATTTAGAAAAGTTGAGATGAGTGGTGGGTGGTACACGCCCTTTACTCCCAACATTTCGGATGCAGAGTTTGAGGCCAACATAGTCTGCAGACCAATTCTACTACAGCTAGGGCTCCACAGAGAAACCCTGTTTCAAAACAACCGGAAAAAAGAAAGAAATAGAAAAGTCAAGATGAGTACTAAAAAAATACATTATGAAATATCATAATGAATGAAACCACTATTACATGTAATAAATATACACTAGTAAAAACACTAAAATTTTTAAATTCAGGCAGAACGATTTGTCACTTAAAACACAGAAATTCTAAGATCCACAAGAATTTATCTCTACAAGGACAATCAAATCATTCACTTAACAAAAAATAACAGCAATAACGAAGTACTTGGAATATAAGACAATATTGGCTTTCAACATCAGCCACGTAAAATTTGTACTTCCAATAAAATAACAACAAAAAAAACTTTCTTACTTTATAATTAGGACCAAAAATCACAGAAAACTAAGGACAATAATGTTAAAAATAATAGGAATTATTTTTATACCCTGAGAACAAAGAAAAGAGACCTACTCTGAAAAGACAAGCAAGCTTAAAAAGTATGTGAATTTATCGTGTCATTGTTGTCCTCAACTTGTTCTATGATAAACTATGCTTAGGCATGCAAGCAAAGGCAAGATTAAATATATGCATGCTCATTTTTTTCACAAATTTGAGGCTGTTTGTCACCAGTTAGGTTCAAATAATTTCTACATTTAAAGAATAATAACAAGTTGGCCTAAAAAGGAAACAGAAATCAGTGAGCACATAATAATTTATATCTATTAATGAAAAAAAACTACTTTCAAGAATTTAGGACCTGTGACCATTCTGGTAATAATAATTAGTACAATATGTATCTGTATTGCAATCATGTCTACAAAAGCCCTGGTTCAATCTTAGGATGTGTATGACATGGAAATAAAGTGCCCAAGTGACAAGGATCCTTACTTTGGGGTTAGAGTATGGTAAGTGCTAGAACATGTGCTTAGCATACATGATGAAGATCTGGACTTTAAGTCCCAGCACCAAAATAAATAAATAGTAATATCCTGATTTCTAAGGTTGCATCCACTAAAGCCAAGTGCAATGATGCACTCAGGAGGCTGAGGCAGGAGGTCTGCTTCAAGTTTCAGCCCAACTTAGCTTACACATTGAGTTCAAAGCCAGCCTGGACTATAGTCTTCATAGTGCTACATTTACTACAATGTCTTCTGAGAACCCTCAAAATACCACTAGAGAGCTTTGCTAAATAAATATAAGACCTGAACAAGGGGGACCCCAGACTGATAGCTGGGAAAAGCATAGGGCCAACCCAAACCCCCTGAATATGGGTCTCAGAAGGCCTGGGCAGTCCAAGGGACCTCGGGCAGTGGAACCAGGATGTATCCCTGGTGCACAAAAGGGCTTCGGAAGCACAATCCCTGTGGAGGGATACTCCCTTAGCCTAGAGACATGAGGGAGAACCCTAACCCAAATGACTTGACAGATTTTGATTATCCCTCCTGGAAGGCCTCACCCTCCATGGAGAGTGGATGGGGAATGGGAGAGGGGTCTGGAGGATTTGGGAAGATGGGAGGGAGAGGGAATTGGGATCGATATATAAAATAAGAAAAGAATAAAAAATATATAAGTCTGAAAACAAGAAGCTAAAAGATAGAATTGCTTAATTAGCAATTTTCATGTAAATTAAGAGCAACAACAAAACTCCAGCCCATAAGTCAATCTCTATATATAGCAGAAAAGAATGTACCATACATAAAAAGAAATTCTTCCAAGTATCCAAGAAGATATCTTGAATATAAAGTTACACAAAAAAGCCAAGTGTGGTGGCACAAGTCTATAGTCCCATGATTTGAGAGGCTGAGGAGGAAGATAAGTTCAAAGCTATCCTTGGTTATATACTGAGACCTTGTCTCCAAAAGAATAAAATAAAATAAAGAAAAATGATGATAAATGAATTAAACAAAAGAAGAAATTTTAAAGCTCAAGAAAGTCAAAGACAAATTGTCAAGGAAGGAAGCTAACCTGAACAGTTTGTATTTGTGGTGACTGAATAACCGATGGATGTGGTGTCTGAATTACTCCCTGGACCTGTACAGTTTGGCCTGAAGGTAACTGTACTAGAGTCACAGCTGGGGAGCCTCTTCCAGTGCCTGATCCAGCTACAGAAACCTGAAAAAATGACCATCATTGAGGATTAAAGCTGGGCTTGGATTGCTTCTGTTTATTTTTAAGAGTACCACTTGCTAACACAACCAGCCTACTTCTCTTTTCTTTTTCTTGAGTCTAAGAAATGACAAACAACTGGGGTACTTACCATTAGGAGGTAGTCACCTTCCTGGAACTGTCATTCTCTGATGTGACAGATACTAAAGAACCCATGCGCCTCACTTTTGGTGCCCATGCTTTGGCAGCTAAGAATGTTCCAAGCACAAAGTTCTAAAGCAGTTAAACTACCTTGATGCAACTCATGGCTACTAACAGGGATGCCCTTTTCAGGCCAAAATACAAACACTTCCTCTTTAACTGCTTAAGAGAAACTGGAGGAAATTTAAATGTGGATTACTTTTTGATAAATGAAATGTTTTGTATATGGTAATTTGCTCACTATTTTAGATGCAAACTAATACCCTGTCTCAATATTAGTTTAAGAAAAAGTAATTTTATAGTCTATAAACACACACACACACACACACACACACACACACACACACACACACACACACACACACACACAGAGTACACCATAAGGCAAAGGCAAAGATATTTATTGCAGGACCTTTCAAGCCTTTAGGTACCCCCGCTCCAGAAAAGCCTCCTGTCTCAGGGCTGGCATAGCCTCCTGTTGCTTATCCTCCTCCCAACATGGAGTATCAAGAGAGAGGTCCAGTGCCATTCATCAATTTTGAACTGAGAGAAAAATAATAAATATAGGCATTGGTCACCTACTGAGCACTTTCAACAAAACATGCTTTGGACTTGACTTGAAACCTACAAAGGTCCCTAGTAATCAACCTGTCTGTTCAACCACTATAATTTTAGAAAGTTTTCTTAATTTCACTTAGATCCACTGTGCATTATGGCTTATTCAAATCACTCAAAGATCTTGAAAATGAAATATACTGCAAGTTTCTACCTTAAGTAGGATAACCTCAAGGTGTTAATTTTCATGGAAACTCTATGTGTAACTATTTTAAATTGTGTCTGCAAGGTGAGCATAGTAGCATATGTTGAAATCTCATCACTCAGGATGCTGAAGCAAGGGATCATGAGTTTGTGGCCAGGTTGGGGAACACAGCAAGACCCTTATCTGGAAAAAAACAACTGGGTCTATAAAAATGAATTATGATTTACTTACATCACCATTTTCTAAGAAAGCAAATAGGTTCTCTAGTAATCTAAAGGTTACAATTTAATAGATAAAAGAGAAACCATATGCTGAGCACTGGACTACGTGGACTAAGGTATAAAGTAGAACTAGGGGGGTAAAAAAAAAAAAAAAAAACAATGCCTAAGAACAGATCAAAAAGGTAAAGAGCTAACTCCACTTATCAGCCACAAATGTCACAGGAGTACAATAGAAAGATAGTGTAGCCCTGAACAAAAAGTGAAGGCTTTCTCTGGGGCCAGAGCTGAAGCCAGACCTTGATCTATGCCTTGATTACAAAGGAACAAATGAGGGCAGAGGCAAATGATACAAACAACCTACCAGGCAATTTCAGCCTTTCAGCCTGCCTATCCCAATATCATCTGCTTTGGGTTGTAGGAAAAAAGAACATCTTACACACAACCATTGGTTGAATAGCTAAAGGTAAAAAGAAAAAGAAAAATCTCAGCCAAAAGGCAACACTGTAAAATTATAAAAAGGCATTTACCTCTGTGTTGACTAACTGCCAAAAGGTTCCCTTCTCACAACTAAATCTCAAGCTTTTTTTTTTTTTTATCATGGGACATCTTTATACTTAAAACTTGCTAACTACCTCAGAGTTTGTTGTTTTTAAAATATTTTATTACATTTAGAGTGAGTTTGTGTATGTGTACATACACTGTGTGTATGCCACTTTATGTATGTGCACACCACTGTGCATGTGAAGGTAAGGGACAAGTTGTAGGAGTTAGTTTTCTCCTTGTACTGTGCAGTTAGTTCCCGGGATCAAACTAAGGACATCAAGTTGGGCATTAAATGCTCTCAGCATCTGAGCCATCTAAATCTACTGGATTTCTACCTAGTGGAGTGCTAGTAAATATTTAATAACCAGATCCTAGAAAGTGGGATACAGTTTTCCTTATTTCTGTGATATATACTATGTATTATGCATCATGACTTGTTTCAGGCTACAAATGGAGACCAGAGACACAAGTTGAAAAAAGATGTATATATCTGGCTCTTGCAAGCCCATACAAGACAGCTGCAGAGAGTATTTATTATCTACTAATTTGTAACTAGAGCAATAAGAGAAGAGAGAGAGATACAGGGGAAACAAATAGAAAACACAAAAATAAGTATCTTTACCTCAGATTATATGATTCTATACATTAAAGACCCTCAAAAAAATCCACCAGAAAACTCCAACAGATGATAAGTGTTAGGTAGCAGAATAAAAAAAATAATATACAAAAATTGCCTTCCTACAAAATGACAAACATTGAGAAGGAAACCTGGGAAACAATCCCATTTACAACAGCCTCAACAAACAAATCTTGAAATATATCTAACCAAATAAATAAAAGATCTGTGCAATGAAAATTCAATATTGAAGAAAGAAACTGAAGAAGATACTAGAAGAAGAGACCATCTATGCTACTGGATTGGTAAGATTGATCCTACTTAAGGCAATCTATAGATTCAGATTTGATCCCCATCAAAATTTCAATTAAATTCTTTACAGAAGTTGAAAAATTAATCTCAAATTTCACATGAAAACATAAAAGACCCAGACTAGCTAAGCAATAAAATACTGCTGAAGTATCACCCCTGATTTCAAGTAATACTTGAGAGCTATAGTAATAAAAACAGCATGGTATTGTCATTAAAACAGACACATAGTCAATATAATAAAACTGAAGAACCAAAGATAAGCTTACATTACCACAGTCACCTCATTTTCAACAAAGATGCCAAAATACATGTTGAAGAATAAAAGTAGATCTTTATCTCTCGCCATGCACAAAGCTCAACTCCAAATGAATCAAGGACATCAATGTAAGACCCTGAACCTGAGGAGAAAGTAGGGAATAGCATACCAATAATACAACCATTAACTAACAAGTGACAAATGGAATGTTATAAAACCACAAAGCTTCAGTACAGCAAAAATATAATCATTCCAAGGACAAAGCAGCCTCCAGAATGGCTATACATCTGACAGAGGGCTAGTGTCCAGAATACACAAAGAATGCAAATAATAAACAAATCCAACTTAAAATGGAGCATGAAACAGAGAAAATCTCAAAAGAACTATAAAGAGCTGATAAATATATTTTAAAACATTCAATATATTTAGCCATCAGAGACATGCAAACTAAAACCACTGTGATATTTCACTTATCCCAGTTAAAATGACTACGATTTTGTTTTTTAAGGGCAACAAATGTTGGTGTGTATGTGGAGAAGGTGAAACACATTCACTGCTGGTGGGAGTACAAACTGATGCTTCCACTATGCAAATCAGTGTGAGGTCCCCAAGAAAGCTAGAAAAAACTGTACCATATGATCCAGCTTTAGCTCCTAGGTATATTATCAAAGGATTCTATATTCTTCATAGAGATACCTGCTCATCAGTATTTACTGTTACTATATTCACAAAAGCCAGAAAGGGAAAACAGACTAGATGTCCATCGAGTGATGAATAAATATAGGAAATATGGTACATGCACACAACAAACTATCATTCAGTTGCAAGGAAAAATGAAATTATGTAATTCACAGTTAAATGAATGGATTTAAAAATAATCACTTTGAGTAAGAGAACATGAACCCAGAAAGACAAATGCCACATGTTTTCTCTCACTCATGGATGCTGCCTTTGAATTTTTAGATAATTCTATTTATCCCATAAAGGTTAAAATAAAAAAAAAAAAACTAGCAAGGTGCCACAGGGTGTTGGTTTAAAGTGAAGAGAGACAGAAGACAGGTATGTGGTATGAGGAGGGCTAGAAAAATAATAAAAACAGAAAAGGTTAACTGGGGCAGGAATAGGAAGGCAGGACAGAGAAGTATGGGGAGAGACAACACTAAAGACCTTTGAAAAAGCCATATATAAAGTGCTACTAGAGAAGTTTCCTAAAGTATTTATAGACACATATAGAAGGAGTTTAAATGATGTTAACTGATAATGGGGACAATGCCCCTCTTAGACACTATAAACTATGAATAAAAAGTTCATTGCTGAATATGGGTTACCATCTTTGGTTCTGCTGGTCAATATAGCCCCATAGAGTGTGCGCACCCCCCCCCTCCATCCACCAAACATTACAAGCTGTTGCTATTGCTCTTGGTTACCCTCCAGAACTTGACAGTAAGACCCTACTGCTGATGATAACATGCACTTGAGTCATATAGAACAAGGAGAAATCAAGTTGGTACCTAGAAGCTTCATCCCTTACTACCTAGTTCCACGGTGCATGCTTCCATGAGAGAAAAGTAATGAACAATCTCACCCAGCTGTGAACCCTGTGTGCTACACAAACTATTGTGCTGGCAAAAGGTATGCTCACGTAGTACAATAGCGTGGCAAGAATATCATGGGAGCAAGCATGCACTTTCTGTCTGGATTTAAAGCCTGCTCTACAAGATGGAACTTAAAACCTGGTACCATTAACTGGGGAAGAACAACAACAAAACTCACATGGCTTCCTGCACCCCCTCAATTTAATATTGTTATTATAGTGACTATATAGCCTGCAACTGAATATTTGGCTCTCTTCAAAAGTAAGGTATATATATACAAGACATAGAAAGAGCAGAGGTAATGATTCAAGAACATTTATCTGCTCCTAAAGCTCAAAATGAATAAGTAAAAAGTAGCATTTCACTTCAGATGATGAGATAAATTCAGTTTTAAGCAAGCTCAGATTAAATCCATTTAAAGATGAATGTTTAAAACAGAATTAAGGGTTAGAATTTTGGATTAGAACTCATGAAGAAAATGCATACTTGCATAATATCAAGA